GAACCCCACCCCCTACCTAAGCCTCCCTGTTCCTTGTCCCCTGACTGCCCCCTCCTGAGACCCTACCCCCTACCTGTACCCTGACTGCCCAAAACCTTATCCACAGCCTCCCCCCCCCGAACTCCCGACCCATCCAACCCTGCTCCCTGTCTATTCACTGCCCCCTCCTGCCCCTTCTCCAACCCCCTGGCCCCCTTACCGTGCCGCTCAGAACAGTGTGTTGGCTCCACGCGGAGCCGGACACACTGCTGCGCTCCTCAGCGGAACGCACAACCCGGTTCCCGCCCTCGCAGAGTGCTGCGGAGCAGCGCGGTGGGCGGGAGGGGGGAGCAGGGGGAGGAGCTCCAGACTGCCGGAGGCCCGATGCGAACATCCGGCGATCTGTGAATGCAGGGAGGGGGAGGGAGAGGGAGAGAGCGAGAGGAGTGATCTCAAGTTGCAGGGGAGAGGAGGAGAAAGCGGAGGAGGGGCTCTGGCTGCTGGAGCCCCATGCAAGTGGCACGATCCGGCTGGCTGCCCTGTCAGCCACACGCGCTCTGCATGGGGGGGAAATCCGGACATTTACAAATTCCCCACCGGACGCTATTTTTAACTCAGAAAAGCCGGACATGTCCAGGAGAATCTGGACGAATGGTAACCCTAAACAGGGGTGTACCTTTGCATCAAATTCATTTTGAGGGGAAAGCCCATTAATTTGCATTTTTGGAGGAATAGTTGCTGCCACAGCTTCCAACATATAGCCCTCTAATGTTTTGCTTGTATCTTTCTACTGCTGCTTTGAAGTTTTAGGATTTAAAAAGAGCTAAAAATAATTCTGAGTGGAACATCTTCATATTTCTTGATCTCATCCTTTTCCCTTTGTCTAATTCACTTGTGATAAGTTTTTTTGCGGGTCCTGTGTTAATCATAGAATCGTAGGACTAGAAGGGACCTGGAGAGGTTATCTAGTCCACTCCCCTGCACTCATGGCAGGACTAAGTACTATCTGCTGCAAAGATGACCAGGCCAATGTTGAATTAAGCAGAGCTATGGCAGACACATGAAGTTTAAGATCTCTCTGACATTACTTCAAACCTCAATTTTAAATAACACTACATTTATGAAATACCATTTAATCCAAAATGCCATGTCCCCTGGTCTTGGAAGCATTCTTCACCTAGCACTGTCAGACAACATGATTAGCACATGGGATCTCCTAATGTAATCCTAAATGATATTACTATCTAATCACCACCTATTTACCTAATCAAGGGCCTGTTTTAATGCTCAGATTGTCTTGTCTCTGTCAATTGTGGGTGACCAATAACAAAAAGGTGGTCTTAAAAGGATAATCTAAATTTAAAGGCTTGATTTTTAATCTGCTACGTTGGTGTAAATCTGAAAAGTTAGTGGAGTCACTCAGGATTTACACAGGTCACTTGCAACTGAATCTATAGGAAATGATACAGTTGTAGAAATTACTCACAAGTTTGGAAAGAGCAGGACTACAATGTATTGCATAAGGAGAGTCAAGAAAGAGACACAACTTTGTCTGCTCTAGATCAGTGCTTCTCAAAGTCAGGCCGCCGCTTGTTCAGGGAAAGCCCTTGGCGGTCCGGTCTAGTTTGTTTACCTGCCGCGTCCGCAGATTCGGCCGATCACGGCTCCCACTGGCTGCGGTTCGGTGCTCCAGGCCAATGGGGGCTGCAGGAAGCAGCACTGGATGAGGGATGTGCTGGCCACCCTTCCCGCAGCCCCCATTGGCCTGGAGCAGCGAACCGCGGCCAGTGGGAGCCGCGATCGGCCGAACCTGCGGATGCGGCAGGTAAACAAACCAGCCCGGACCACCAGGGGCTTTCCCTGAACAAGCGGAGGACCGCCTTTGAGAAGCACTGCTCTAGATTGTAGTTTAATTCATGAAAAGCTGCTCCTTAGAGTGTGAAAGTAGAAGTGGGATTTCAGGCTGAAACACAAAAGCAGTTGTCATTGATGGGTTGCTGGGGGAGGCAGTTACAGGGATAAATAACAAAATAGTAGATATCATAATGCCACTGTACGAATCCATGATATATCCACATCTTGAATACTGCATTTAGTTCTGGTCACCCAGTCTCAAAAAAGATCTATTAGAAATGGAAAAGGTACATAAGAACATAACATAAAATGATTAAGGATGTGGAACAGCTTCCATATGAGGAGAGACTAAAGAAACTGGAACTGTTCAGCTTGGAAAAGAGACGACTAAGGGGGGATGTGATAGAGGTCTATAAAATCATGAATGGTGTGGAGAAAGTGAATAAGGAACTGTTATTTACCCCTTCACATAACACAAGAACCAGGGGTCACCCAATGAAATTAATAGACAGCAGGTTTACAACAAACAAAAGGAAGTATTTCCTCACACAACATACAGTCAACCTGTGAAACTCATTGCCAGGGGATGTTATGAAGGCCAAAACTATAACTGGGTTAAATAAAGAATCAGGTAAGTTCATAGAGGATAAGTCCTTCAGTGGCTGTTAGTCAAGATGGTCAGGGATGCAACTGTAAGCTCTGCATGTCCCTAAGCTCTGATTGCCAGATGCTGGGACTGAACGACAAGGAATGGATCACTTGATGATTGGCCTGTTCTGTTCATTCTCTGTAAAGCATCTGGCACTGCCACTGCTGGAAGACAGGATACTGGGTTAGATGGATCATTGGTCTGACCCAGTATAGCCATTCTTATGTTCATTAAAGTGCGTTTCTTTCAGGTAGATAAAGAGACAAACACAGAGAGCCTTGCACAATCTTCTACTGTAGTTCGTCCAAAAGAGAAGAAAGCAGCTAACCCACCGCAAACTCAGTTTGTCAGAAGTAGCACCATAATCCGCTCCAAAACATTTTCGCCAGGACCACAGAGTCAATACATCTGCAGGGTAAGGAAACCACATCCCCAGACTTTGTTGTAAATGTTTTTCCTTAGTGACTGCACAGTATCTTTAGTTCATCTGATAATACACTGCACTGATGGTCAGAATTGGGAGAGTATACAGCATCCTCAATGACCTTGAACTTCAGTGGAAGTTGAGGGCACAGCACCCTTTCTTGACATTGTACATCAGAGGACCACAGAGCATTTCACACCTGTTAAGTAAACCTCATAATGGGAAGTGATAGTGGAATCACTACACACTCCTGAAATGCAGCTATTTTAGCAGTTGTACCACAGCAGCACAATACAGTGGCTTAGGGCAGGGAGTGTAGAGAGAATTAATATAATTAAAACGCTAGCATGAATTTAGGTAGGATTAAGATAATTACCCTGATTAGAACTTGGCCATAACAGTGGTATTAGTACCTGCAAAGGTTCTTTAATAAACCAAGTGGTCAGAACCTCACTTTGCCATCTTTTGTAGGAGATGTCACTTTAGTAGCACGATACCCTCCACACCATGCTCAAATGTTAGTGACTGACATTACAGAAAGCACAGTTGTCTTGTCAATACCAAGTTGATTAGCCACTGATCTGTAATAGTCTGGGGTAGGCAGTTTCCAGAGGGCAAGAGCAACACACCTCTGGACAGGTATGGCCTCATATCCTGGCAGTGAAGGACCAGAATGCAGTTCCAGAAATGTGCCATTCCTCATACCAAAGTTCTGGACCCACTGCTGGTCATCCCACGTCTATGTGATGTAGTCCCACTGCTCTGTACTTATGGTCCTGGTCTAGAACTGTCACTCAGCATAGGGAGATTCCTCTGCCATTAGAAACTGGATCAGCTATCTCCAGTCCTCCATTTCTGCAGACCGCTTGCACATCTTACTTAAAGCACACTGCTGTATTCTTGTGGCACCACGCCCCTGCCAAAGTGCCTGCCACCACATCTCATGTCCTGGTTCTTCCTCCTCTTGCCAAAAGCAGTCGCATTAGTGCCAACATTTGGTACAGAGTCATTGCTCTGACATGGACCATGACTTGCCACTGGTTGGAATGAAGGCTTCAGACAGAAATATGAGACATGTCAAACTAGAACTGGGTCAATTTGGGAGAGTTAAAATAAATAACAATTACTAATTAAAATGGTGCATATGTCAACCAAGAATCTCAATGTCTTACCAAGGTAGGCAATTAATTTTACAAGTGAGGAATATACATAGACAGATTAAGTAATTTGCCTTAGATCTCAGAGTGAGGAGTGACAGTTCAGAATAGAACCTTGTTTCATCCTCAGGCTGAAACCTTTTGTAACCAGAGGAGCCTTGCTGCATTTAGTGCTGCTTAAAGGTGGATATTAGGGTTATCATCAGACAGAGATGCTGTAAGTGTCTGACTAGTGTTTATCTCCTCTAAAATGAAAGGTCATGATGGAAATCAGAAAGCAGAGATGACTAACTTCAATTAGCAGCATTGAGGGAGCATGAAAGACTCCACTGTGCTGTGTGTGACACTAATTGAACGATCTGTGTACTGATTGAGGATGTCAGTGCCACCTCTTTGATTAAATGTTTATTCGTAATTAATTAGTTCCAGGATTGAGGATCAGGATACACTATAAATAACTCCTTTAGCTTCAACCAGTGTAGAATACAAGTAAACACAGTCAGGAAACTGCTTTTGTGAAGTATGTGCTGGTCTAACTGAGGATTGAGGTGTTCTAGTAGAACATCAAGGGCTGCCTAACATTGAGTGCAGCAAAACAGTACTTCAAAAAACCTGTATCCAGTTCAGATGAAATCAGGCTCACAGGTGTAAACTGTTTTATGTTTGCTTTAGCTGTGAGCTTAATTCTCTTCACGACAGTCTCGACCTTTGAATTGTATCTTCTGTTTGTCCTGTGAGCATTGAGCCATATAATAAATAACACTCAACAGGGCATTTAGGCATAGCAAAGAATATCCATGTTTCAGGGCACTAGAAAGTACACGGCCCAGGGCTCAGTGGTTTCAGCATCCAAGGGGCACCTAGACCTTACTACAGATGCGTATCCTGGAGTACAGTAAATTAGTGCTCATATAAAATGGAACATTTAACATCACAGTTGTGCATAATAGGTACAACCTTGTGATGCCAACCTGCACCTTCCCAGTGGAAGCATCATATCCTGGAGCTCCCTAGCATGCAGGAGGCACATGCCTGCTCCTCCAGCCCTTGGATTTCTGCATGTGCTCTCCTGAATGCTTGGCCCAAAGGTACACAAGAAGATAATTGTCCCTAAACTTGGATTATGATCATGTCCAGCCGCTGTGGAAGTAGCACAAAGGAAAGAGGTTTATTGCTCCACGTTTCCAGGAAAAATCTGACCCCAAATATATACAATGCTGCAAAAAAAACTGAAAAAGTCATGGTATCCATATGCCACACTAAGTTAGTTTCATATATAGAAATAGTTTGTTTGAAAAGGGAAAAAAATATACTTAATCCTTCTCCAATGTTATGCTCTGTTTATTCATAGAAGTTACGGCTGGAAATGACTTAATTCCCAGCCAATGCAACATTGTTCATTACATCTTAATTTTCTAGTCTCTTGTCTGACCTAGTTATTGATGTTGAACAGGGGAAGGGGACTGTGTTGTGACCTGTGCAGAGTTCTAACCAAAAGTGATGGTATCTTCTAACCTCTTCCCAAACAGCAGCATTAAAAAACAGAGGGGAGGAGGCCAGGAAAGGACAGTGGCCATGGAAAACAGCCAGATTTGGGCACCGGGTGGGTTTCATTGCACTGTTACATGTGACTTTCTCAAATAATTCTCAGTCCATGGCTTTCTTTAAATGTCTGTAGCTCTGTGGGCTCATTCGTAATAGCCTTGCACTGCATGCTTGTTTCATAACAATTACTTCTGTCTCTTTTTCAGCTAAATCGCAGTGATAGTGACAGTTCAACACTGTCTAAGAAACCACCCTTTGTTCGGAATGCTATGGAGAGGCGAAGTGTCAGAATGAAGCGGGTAAAAACTTCATCTACAAATTTTTCCCTTAGCTGGCATTCAAGAAAATAATCATGTTCTTAAAGCATTGGTTTGTGAGTTACCAGTAGATAATTCTATTTAAAAAGGGGTTAGCAAAGATAATTCAGGTTAATTTCAGATATAAACCACCTGTCTTCATGTGCTCATAGCGTTAAAAAAAAAATTCTCCATTTGGGCTGAAATGTTCTTACTAGTCTGTCAAAAGGTTACAAATGTCTGTTCCCTTGAGTTACTAAAACTCCCATTTGAAAAATTATTTCTCACAATTTTCCTTCCAAACAGAATTCAAAAATAGCTAAATTTTTAGATGTGGCATGTAAAATATGCTCTCATTGGCTCATATCCATGCCAAAGGAATTGGTGGGATAACTAATTTGTAAGCAATTGAAAATAACTTTTTCAGATGTTTATTGAAATTTAACAGTGCTTAATGAGCTCCACACCCATTACTGACATCATTGTGCACGTTCTACTAGGATGTGAATGGGGTGGAATTAGGCTGCTGTCCTTAGGAGGCCACTGAAACATTTTGCATGAGGCAGACTGTCTGATTGAAATACTCACCTTGTGCACTCCTCAACACTAATGTTCCTGATATTGGGGGCAGGAGAAAATCCAGTGGTGTGAAACCAATGCTAATACATTGTCTTGCAGCATTCTGCAATATTCTGGTAATTGAGGTGTAAGTAAAATTATATTCTGAGTAATGGTGTAAGGAAGATACTCCTCATTTCAGCCCATTGTCAGCTAAGTACAGAAGCCCTTGGCTTACTTCATATACCATTAGTGTTGATGGAAGCTGCAGCATGGGCAAGCTGACTTATAAGACTTTGCTAGACTGTGAAACTGCAAATTTGGGTGAGCAGCCACCTTGCAAAAGCAGCATTACCAGAGATGTTGCCTTTCATCTCCAGAACATTGTGCATTTGAGGAGGAAGTGGTCATCACACATATTCGGACAAGATGGGAACAGTTTGACACTTTTTATTCCAATCATAAATCCCTTCTGTTCCAGCCTTCGGTTAAGTCCTTTGGTGCAGAGCGTCTAATCCGAACTTCACTAGACCTGGAGTTAGACCTGCAGGCTTCAAGGACCTGGCACAATCAGTTAGTGCAAGAGATCTCTGTACTGAAAGAACTGAAAGAACAGTTAGAACAAGCTCAAGGTCAAGGTGAAAAAGAGCTGCCACAATGGGTGAAGGATGATGAGCGATTCCGGCTTTGGCTGAGACACGTTGAAAAACGGGTAAGTAATTCTGACTGGATTTTTGTTAATATGTTTAGTCAAACACATTTTCCCAGTCCTCTGGAGACCAGAACATTCAAATCTTTAGTGCTGCTATCTTCCAAATCTTCCCCCTTTTAAATAAACTTGTTTGATGGAGCTTTGTATTGAAGCTTCTGTTTTATTAACTTTACATACTGACAAATAATTAGAATTGTAGCCCTTGCAAATGCAGGAGTCCTTTCCTACCATTTGAATTCCACTGTCACTTGTCATTGGATGCAAGGCCAGGCGCAGGAGGAGTCTGTGACGGGTTCCTCCCTGAGGTGCCACCTGGAACTGGGGTACCACTGAGCCCTCTGACTCACCAGCCTGGGCTCCCTCTCACACTGTGTTGCTGTGACAAGCTGCAGACCCACCCCTGGTCCTACACTTCCACCAGCATTCACACAGGTAGGGACACACCCAGCTGCAGTTACATACAAGCTGACCAGCCACTGCACGAACCAACAATAGAGAGGCTACAGCCAAAATAACCACCAGCTTCCCCAGCCTAGGACCCCAGAGCTGTACCATCCTGCCCTGGTGAAAACCCTGACCAGTATGAATTTATTATCCAGCTCGCCTCCCCCTCAATCACCTGGATCACTTGGATCAATCGGTCTTCAGCTGTCATTAAGACTGCGCCGATCACAACACGTCCACCATTCTTCTTGCATTCTTGCCTTTCTTCTCCATATTCTTCCAAAATGTTTAACAGTGTCATCTTCTCATCTTCTTGGAGGCTGACCAGGTGGTCTTTTTTGTTCTCGCGGGTACCACTCAGTAATGATTGCGGTCCACCTATTGTCCGTGAACCATGCTATGTGGCCCGCCTCAATGTGGAGAGGAAATGCAACAGCCTTTGCCACTTGAGCTAAGATTTCCAAGAACTTCATTCAGACTCACTGTTTTAGATAAAGCAAAAACAAGTTTATTAACTACAAAAGATAGATTTACGTGATTATATGCAAACAGATCAAAGCAGATTACCTAGTAAATAAACAAAAATTCAAACTATGCTTAACATCGTAGAATGATAGGATTTGAATTAACAATCTCTCGCCCTGACTGATGATACAAGAAGGCTTGCAGATTCTCAACTTACAAGATGCACTTGCTTTACAGCTTGGGAGTCCCAGGTTTTCATACACAGGCTAGAAATCCCTTTAGCCTGGGACCAGCATGTCCCCCGGTTCAGTCTTTTGTTTCTTAGGTGTTTCTAGGAGTTTTCTTGTGTGGGGAGTGAAGGTGTCACTCCCTGCCTTATATAGCTTTAGCATATGGTGGAAACCCTTTGTTCCAAACTCAGTTTGTGGAAAAACACTGGTATCCAAGATGTAGTTCCGTGTCATGTGGGTTGGTCACATGCCCTTGCATACCTTGCTGAGTCACAGTAGCCATTATTTACAGGCTGTCTGGAGCATTCTCAGGAAGGCTCACCCAGTGGGAGATAAGCTTCTCCTAAGGCTTTTTGTTCTTCCTAATGACCCATTACCTTGAATAGGCCTTCACAGCCATCTGTCTAGACTGGAAGCATTTTGCCTAGTGGGTATCACCCAGGTGTGACTACATGTGAAATACAGATACATAGTCAATATTCATAACTGCAGATACAAAAATGATACATGCATACAAATAGGATAATCATATTTAGCAAATCATAACTTTTCCAATTACACCTCACATGACCAGTCTTGTACAAAATACATCATAATTATGCCATAATCATATTGTAATAATATCAATATGAAGACTATGGAGTGCAGTGTCACAGAGTCATTGGCTCCAAGTGGTTCTTGCCTGTAGAAGGATAGTACCTATTGGTTACTCCTTTCTTTTGTCTAGCTCCATTCTTTTCAAAGCTCAGTGGCAGGCTTGGAAAGCAGTGAGGAGAGAGAATCTGGAACTTAATGTACCCACTGAATGTTTCATAAAAGGTCTTTATCAAGCACACACAAGAGTTTCACCCTGTGGGGAAAGTCTGTTTCATGCACCAAGAAGGAGTATGTTGAGGTCACATTTTGGGGGGCTGTGATCTTTGTTAGTGGGGGAGTGAGTGCGGCACTAGAATGTCTCAGGAAAAATTGGGTTTTCTGGATTATCTGCATGTTGGTTAATAAAATTATATTCTGTTTTGCCTTCTCTGAATCTGTGTGTATTGATGGATTATAAAATGCTGTAATATGTTTAAAGTACTATAAACACCTTCTAGAAAAATCTGAGGGTTCTAGAAACCATGATTACAAGATGCTGTAGGATTTAATCCACAAGCTCTGCTGACTATCCTGGGCCCAATTCTTCTGCACTTACTTATGGTATCGTTGGAACTCCTTGCAGAACATAGTACTATTTGGTGGAAGGGCTAGTTTACATGCAGGCTTTACTGCTTTAACTATACCACTAGAAAATTGCACTCGTAACCAAAGTAGTTTTAGTAAAAAACCTGTGAGTGGACTAGGCCTAAGTGCTTTAGAATAAGGTCCTCTGCTATGCAAAGTCAGAGCTCTTGCCTTACTGAAATCTAGATAGATATTTGATACAGTTCCACATGGGACATTATTAGTTAAATTGAAGAAGTTGAGGATTAATATGAGAAGTGAAAGGTGGAAAAGGAACTGGTTAAAGGAGAGACTACAATGGGTCATACTGAAAGATGAACTTCAGGCTAGAGGGAGGTTACTAGTGGAGTTCCTCAGGGATTGGTCTTGAGACCAATCTTATTTAACATTTTTATTATTGACCTTGGCACAAAGGAGTGTGCTAATAACATTTGCGGATGACACAAAGTTGGGGAGTATTGCCAGTACAGATGAGGACCAGAATATAATACCAGAAGATCTTGATGACCTTGTAAACTTGAGTAATAGAAATGTGATGAAATTTAATAGTGCAAAGTGCAAGGTCATGCATGTAGGGACTAACAAGAATCTTTGCTATAAGTTGGGGACACATCAGTTGGAAGTGACAGAGGAGGAGAAAGACCTGGATGTATTAATCACAGGATGACAATGAGCCACCAGTGTGATGTGGCCATGAAAAAGGCTAATGCAATCTTAGGATGCATCAGGCAAGGTATTTCAAATAGAGATAGGGAAGAATTAGTAACATAATACAAGGCACTAGTGAGACCTCATCTGGTTACCGTGTGCAATTCTGGTCTCCCGTGTTAAAGAAAGATGAATTAAAACTGGAATAAGTGCAGAGAAAGGCTACTAGGATGATACAAGGAATGGAAAACCTACTTTATGAGCTTGACGAAAGCTGAGGGGAGATATGATTGCTCTCTATAAGGACATCAGAGGGATGAATACCAGGAATATTTAAGTTAAGTGCCAATGTGAGCACAAGAACAAATGGATATAAACTGGCCATCAACAAATTTAGGCTTGAAATTGGACAAAGGTTTCTAATCATCTAGACCCAACTGGCTTCAATACTAAGCTTAATAAGTTTATGGAGGGGATGCTATGATGAGACTGCCTAAAATGGCATGTAGCTGATCTGTGACTGCTAGCAGCAAATATCTCCAATGGCTGGTGATGGGACACTAACTGAAGAGGGCTCTGAGAAATCTTTCCCAGATGTCTGGTCGGAGGATCTTGCCCACCAGCACAGGGTCTAACTGATTGCCATATTTGAGGTCGGGAAGGAATTTTTCCCTGGATCAGATTGGCAGAGACCCTCAAGGTTTTCCACCTTCTTCTGCAGCATGGGGCATGGGTCACTTGCAGGTTTAAACTAATATAAATGGTGGATTTTCTGTAGCTTGAAGTCTTTAAATCATGATTTGAGGACTTCAGTAACTCAGCCAGAGGTTATGAGCCTATTACAGGAGTGGGTGAGTGAGGTCCTGTGTCCTGCAATGTGCAGGAGACCTAACTAGATGATTATGATAGTCCCTTCTGATGTTGAAGTCTATGAGTCTATGTGTAACCCTAACAGAAGTGGCAACTTGTTTTAGTTTTTCTGCTTAATCTTGCAGTTGCAGATCTCTATTATAAGCATAAGCAAATAGAGTGCTAGTCACTTTGGTTTTCAAATATCTAGTGAAACTAAAGAAGCTTACACTAGAATACAAGTTGCTCTGTCACTTGGCATTTGTCTTTGAAATGCACAAATAAATGGGTCTTGTGATTCAAGCTTGGGAATGCTATAATCTCCTTTGAGAGAAATCAGTAGCAACATTGGCTATTAAACTGGTAGAAAAAGGCAATCTCACATTCTTCTTCGAACTTGGTCATAGCTTCTGTCATACTTTGGCTGACTGTAGAAAACCAAACCAGGAGGATAGTGAAAGATGACAGACAACTTGACTGATGTTTATGTAGTTTCAATATTCATCTTCTAGGAATTGTGCTTTCAGAATATGTTTGGTATAAAAGAAACATAAGGCACTAACTAAAACTTTTCAACAAGTATTCGTTTTGGTTTTAGGTCACTAGAATGGAAATCCTAGGTTTCCTATCTTATGTCAAAAGGAAATAATTTGGGAATATTAATCATGCAGGATGCACAGTTGGCCATAACAGAAAATGTCTTTTTTTCCAGATTATTAAAACTGCATTTTATTTGACAGTTCTGAAAGGATCTGCCATCAAGGAGTGGGTTAAATGGCAGTGATGAAAAGAATACTGATAAAAACTGGAAACACTAAAGATTATCGCACAAAACAATTTTTTATGTTTCTGAAAGTTGCCTTTCTGTTCAAAATGCATTCCCTTTCTCTCTGGAGAGTCTAAAAATAAAACTCAATGCTTCAAAAAGAATGGGATTTATAGATAAAGTGGGGGAAGCTTCACAAATGACTGAATAGCCCTGAGTAGTATACCGCTCAATAGCATTCATCACCATGCATTTGACAGGTTTCCACGCCCCATTTAGGGCTTATATCCCGCCTTCCCACCCTGTTTCCGTTGGCACCAAAGTTTGGTGCCGTTGGCCATTTTGAAAAAATGTGTGTGTGTGTGTGTTTGACATGG